AAGACCAAGAATATGACAGTGACAGTAGCTCTAGTAATGTATTTGTAAATAATGTAGATAGGGAATGTTTTTGCAATAAAATGAATTGCAACCATAAAAATATGTGGGAAGAAATTATAAATTTGGAAGATAAAAAATGTAGGGTAACTCTTGATACAGGTGCTGATATAAGTGTAATTTCTCAAAATGTTTTCAAAAAAGTCGATAGGCAATTTAAAGTTAGAAATTCTGAATATATTATTAAAGGATTTGAAGGCACACAAGCCAAAACAATTGGCATTGTAAATTTAAATGTAAAGTATAAGAATAAGAATATATATGAGGATTTTGTGATTGTTGAGGGTGCAAACCGTGTTCTTTTGAGTGGTAAAGCTTGTGTTGATTTAGGATTGCTAAAAAGGGTTAATAAGATTGACATAAATGTTCTTCCTCCTTCTACAAGCGATAAAGAAAAATTTATTTCAGAAAATATTGATATTTTTAGCGGACATGGTAGATTTTCAGGAAATTTTAAAATCACTACTATTGATGAATTTGAGTCAGTGAGCCACCCACCCACAAAAGTACCTATAGCAATAAAAGATTCTTTAAAACGTGAACTTAATAGATTAGTAGATCGTAACGCAATTTTAAAAGTGGATCAAATTGATGCCAGAGCAAGTATAAATCGTATGGTTATAGTGGAAAAACCAAATGGTAAGTTAAGATTATGTTTAGACCCTTCAGACCTAAATAAACAAATTGTACGTAAACCTAGACTTGTCCATACTTTAGAGGAACTATGTTCAAATATTATTGGTAAGTGTATTTTCTCTGTTTTTGATTTAGCTGAAGGCTATCACCATCTTGAACTGGACGAGGATTCCTCATGGAAATGTTGTTTTGCTACACCTTACGGAATTTATAGGTATGTAGTACTACCATATGGGCTCTCCAATTCTCAGGACCTTTTTCAAGATGAAGTAGAGAAAAATTTTGGCGATTTACAAAATGTTCAAATTTGCCATGATGACATGATCATAATGGGTTCTACTAAAGAGGAACATGACATTACAGTAAAAAAAGTTATACAAAGGGCCAGAGAGGTAGGTGCAAAATTTAATAAAGATAAGATCCAATATTGCCAGAAACAAGTAAAATTTATGGGCCAGATTTTTTCTAATAAGGGAATGGAAATAGATCCGGATAGAATTGAGTCTCTGTGTAAATTAAAATGCCCTAATAATAAAATCGAATTGCAAAGAATTTTAGGTTCATTTAATTATGTTAGACGATATATTCCGGATATGGCTGAATTCATAAAACCATTATCTGAATTGTTAAAATCAAATGTAGAATGGCAATGGTTGCCAAAACATGACGAATGTTTCAAAAACCTTAAAACAATTATCAGTAAACCCCCAGCATTAGTTCCTTTCAACCCCAAATTTAAAATTGTCTTGCAATGCGATGCATCAAAAAACGGTTTAGGCTGTTGTATGTTTCAAGAACATGAAGATGATATTCTTAAATTAGTAGCTTGCGCATCTCGTAATATGAATGATCATGAAATAAATTACAGTCAAACCGAAAAGGAATTATTAGCTATTTATTTTGGAACACAAAAGTTTCATAATTTTATTTATAATTTTGAAATAAATGTTCAATCTGATCATAAGCCAATAATCTCTATTATGAAAAAACCCGTCAGCAAAATTGGATCAGTGAGACTTCAAAGACTTAGGTTGAAACTTTTGAAGTATTCCCTTAATATATACTATGTTCCAGGAAAAGATATTCATTTTGCTGATATGTTATCTCGTTCAACTTTAAAACAAACTAGTTATGACCCTGAAATGTTAGAAATGGTACATCTAGTGACTAAATATTTACCAATGAGTGAGGAAAAGAAAACCGAATTTAGAGTAGAAACCAGTAAAGATGAAACCCTTTCCAAAATTTTCGATTTTTACTATAATGGTTGGCCTAAAGAAAAATTCATTTCGGACAAATGTAAACCATACTACAAAATTAGAGATTATATTTATATTGAAGCAGGCATAGTATTTTTTAATGATAAGATTATTGTCCCAGAAAGTCTCAGACTATATATCATCAAACTTCTTCATAAAGGTCATATAGGTATTAGTAAAACTATCAATAAAGCTAGAACTTTGTTTTTTTGGCCAGAATTAAACACCGACATTACTTCTTTCATAAAAACATGTAGAATATGTGAAAAATTCATGCCAAGTAATTATAAAGAACCTTTGTTACCACATTCTGTACCAACACTCCGTTTTAACAAAATTGGCACCGATATATTAGAATATAGTGCTAAAAGCTTTTTAGTAATCATAGATTATTTTTCACATTGGCTTGAAGTCATATTATTAAAAGACAAAACATCAAATTCAGTCATAAATGCATTTCAGGATATTTTTACAAAATTTGGGTATCCACAATTCGTGATTGCAGATAATATACCTTTTATTTCAAATAAATGCAAATCCTATTATAGAGACAAAGATATAACTATTTTAACATGTACTCCCCACTACCACCAAAGCAATGGGCTTGCAGAAAAATCAGTAAGTATTGCTAAACAAATTTTAAAAAAGGGAGCTGAAGACAATAATGATTATAGGGATCTTGTGATGGAGTATAATAATACTTGCATTGTTAGTCTTAATGCCTCTCCTGCTCAAATTCTTCAAAGTAGGAATCTAAGATCGCAATTACCATTAAACAATAATCAACTGGAGCCAAAAATTCAAACACACATTTATACGAAATTAGTTGATCAGAAAAAACACTTAAAATTACACTACGACAAAAAAGTTCGTAAATCTCCAACGGAATTTAAGAAGGGAGATAAAGTTGTAATTAAATCTTCTAAAGATCAAATTTGGCATAAGGGTATAATTTTAGAAAAAGCTAATGAGCCGCGATCATATTGGGTGAGGAAGGAAAATAACAATAAAATAGTAAGACGTAACAGTAGTCAAATGAAATTATCATTTACAATTTTAAATCAAAACGAGAGAATTCTTGAGCCTGAATTGTATCCTTTCGAGCAAAGTCAACCATCACAACCTCGATCACAACAGAATTTTAATTTGTATAATGATATTAACCTTATTCCTAATATACCAAATGTATCCCCGATAAATAAAGTACCTAAATCCCATGCTCAGTCACATATACCAGTTCCTTCTGATAATGTTAATATTGATAATCATAAGCGTGTATCTAGTTTTGGAAGAACTGTAAAAGCCCCTCCTAGACTGAATCTTTAAGGGGAAGGTGTTCAATATTTATTATTAAGGTTTGATAATAGACAAACCACTAGCATTTAGTATAACCAGTTAGAATATATTTGTCATTATTATGTCAAGATGTTTGTCACATATATCATGTAATAATGAATGTAATAGTTTCTGCTATTCATTAAATATACATGTAATGTTTTAATTGTTTAGTTTTCTATAATATAAATATTACAAAGTTTAAACAGATGTCTTCCATGTCACTTTTAATTTTGTCAACCTCCGAAAAACTATTGACAGCAGAAACATTGACAAGTTCAGTTTTAGAAATTTCGTATATATCATCAGCTTTTTTTGCCAAATCTTCTAAAGAAATTGTATTAGCTGTAGATAAAAGGATCATCTTTACATTGGATGGAAGCCGCTTCATCCATATTTCCATAAGAAAGCTATCGTCCAACTTAATATCACCTACTAATTGCTTCATCCTACGAAGTAATTGGGAAGGAGTTCTATCACCAAGTTCCTCGGAAGCAATTAATTGATTAATCCTTTTCTGTAAGGATATTGAAGTTCGCTTGATTAATTCTTCTTTTAATTTGGAAAAGGGATTAGCTTGTGGAGGATCTAAAATAATGTCTCTGACCTCCAAAACCGTATCTTGATCTAATGCAGCAATGACATGGTGAAATTTTGTATTTTCTGCAGTAATTCTCTTCGTAGTAAATACTGATTCCACTTGAGCAAACCATAGCTTTGCGTCATTTGCCCAAAAACTAGGTAATTTAATATTTACTGATAAAACTGCTTCATTGTTTTCATTCATGGTTCAAAACGGGGTCACCAGTTATTGTGTTGTCTGAACACAATATTTCAAATGAGAAAATACTTCTCTGGAAGAATTAGGAGCAATTCAGTTAATAACTTTTTAATAATAATAATAAACAAAAACGAAATTATTTATCTCCACAACCTTGCCTAACAACTAACCAAAGCTAACTACACACAAAAAAATAAACAATAATAAAAACACAAAGGTAAAAACACAAAGGTAAAAACATAAAGGTAAAAATACAATAGTAAAAACACAAAGGTCACTACAGTATGTTGATAGTTTGGAGGCCGTTGCAGAAGAGAGCGAAAGTAATTCTTTTTGTTCGCGAGCGCGCAGTCTATCACGCATGTGCGTATAGCCTAATTGGTCGAATTGACCTCGGGTTATTATCCTACAGGGAGGGACTCGATATAATCATATATGTATATGACACTCCCCCACTTAAGTGGATTGTGAAACATTTAGAATAAGTTAAATATAACTCTTTATAAATCGATTAACTGATTTCACTTATTAAATGCTTCACATATTAATTCCCTATTTTACAATTCTTACAAATGTTGTCAATGTTGAGAACAACTATATGATGAATATAATGAAAACAAAAGATAAATCATTCTTTATGAGTGCACTGCATATCAACAAGGTCCAGAAAAAAAACAATATGTATTGTTTTGAAGATGAGAAAAAAGCTTGAAGCGTTTCAAACATATTTGACCCTTGTCACCCTTGCAAATGCACCGAAGAAAAATACTCCTTTGCAACCGCCTTCGCAATATTGTCAAAAATAAATGAATGTGCATAACTATACAAATTTAGTGAAATTCAAAGAATTTCATTCGTTTAAACTAGAAATATGTACATTAGTATGAAACAAATACAAACATGTTAAAATACATTTACAAATTAACATTTAGTCAGCTCTTCTGCAACTAGCTAAATTATTAGCATTACATTTTACATAAATCCTTAAAAGGTTAGAATTAGGCGGTATTTACGACTGAAATCTTATACAATTTAAAAAAAAAAAAAACACAGACGGACTTGCAAACAAATGACCAGAATAACGTTTTAAAGTTACAATTATTTGATTTGGACAAGAAAGTTAGTTTCATAACTAGAGAGATATTTTGGCATTATGACTGCCCTTTTTGGTCTTCCCAGGTCAGGAGCAACTTGTGACGCTACCTCCTCCTCTTGGGGTCTCTTGTCTTTTGCAGCTGGCATAGGCTCAGTTCTGCTTGCACTTGTACTGGGCATTTGGTTGCATCCGCTGCTTGTGGATGTGGGCTCTACTGTTTGGTCATCTTCGATGCTCTGAAAAGAATTTTCCAAAGAGTCACTGTTGTCAGACTGAATTTCATTGTTAGTATTATTTGATATTTCATGATCAGAACTATTATTTGATTCAAAAGAAAATGAGTCGTTTCGCACTGGAGGTTCAACTCTCTCCTTCTGGAGGTATATGGTACGACTAGTTGAAGGTAAGTTAATATGAAAATCGTCTGGTTTGTTTTGATTTATGTTAGGTTTGTTATTTGACAAATTTTTAAGGTTTTTATCTACGGAGTCTTTATTTGTGGAAGAAAAATGCTCTGTTTTATCTGACAAGAAATTTTGGATTTGATTTGCATGTCTTTTTACAATGTTTCCCCTGTTGGTTTTACACAAGAATGTAGTTCTGCCTATTTTCTTTTGTATTATGGCTTCTTCCCAGCCTCTGGTGTTGTTTTGAAAAGCTAAAGGAATTGGCCTACTCTTACAAAAAACTGGCCTGGAATTTTTCTTTAATTCTAAAGTTATCTTTGTATGGACATATTTACCTAAAGTATCACTAAAAAGTTTGGGAAATTTCGAAATAATATTATTGATTTCTTGGTCCACTGAAATATTGTTAATAAAATCAATCTTAACGTTGAAATTAGTCATCCAGTCCCGACCTAAAATGTTTTCTCCCCCCGTGCGAACGACATACATCTTATTTTGTTTAACAATATTTTTAAAATTTAAATAGGGAGTGAAAAAACCATCTGGCTCAAAAATACTACCGTTATAGCCTTTTAACAAGGTGTGGTCTTTAAATAGTTCATAGTTTGAAAAATATTTTGAAAATGTTTTATGATTGATAGCAGAAATAGCAGAGCCACTATCACACAAGAATTTAATTCTTATATCATTTAACAAAACTTCTATGCTGACATCCTTTTTAGAATCACCCTTGGACAAATTAGAATAGCTTCTTTAACAGCTCATTTTTTCGACTTCTCAAGTTTGGTTTTACAAAATGATTACGACATCATAGGTATCTCTGAAACTTCTTTAAAAAAACATATTTCAGACGATGTAGTTGCATTGCAAAGATACAATTTAATTCGTCAGGACAGGATAAGGAAAGACAGGGGAGGAGTAGCCTTATATATTAAAAAAGAAATTAAGTATTCAATAGTGAGCTCATCAGATGAAATTGAACAGATTTGGATAAAAATTATCCTAAATAAATCGAGTATTGCTTGTGGAGTGGTTTACAGACCACCTGATTTTTCTTATGTTGAATTTTTAAACACTTTCGAAACTTTTTTGACTGGCAACATTATTCCAGTTGTTGACAATGTTTTCTGTATGGGTGATTTTAATATTGAGAATTTCATACATCTGTCAAAACTGGTATTCCAACAATAAATTGACATGTTTTGATTGTTGATTTGAACCAATCAGATTGTAATTACGCGATAATTTGCACTAGTGCAAATTATCAGATAATTGCATACTAACTGGTGCGAAAACTGGTGTTTTGACATTTTTTGACAAAAAATTTAAATTTTTGATTTATGAAATTCTCTCATTAAATACAACTCGTGCAATGGAAATATATTTATAATTTTCGACAAATTTGCACTCATGCGCTTTTAACTGGAAAAGGCACTCGTGCACTACGTGCACTCGTGCTCTTTTTCAACTAAAAATGCATTCGGGCAAATTTCCCAAAAATTATCAATAATTTCCATTGCACTAGTTATATTACTATTGACTATTTTGTAAAAACACGGTCTGATGCGAGAATGGCTGTGGATGTTTTTGGGGGTTTGGGTCTTTATCAGATTATTGTAGATGCCACCAGAATTACAGAACATTCTCATAAATTGTTGGATTATTTTCTTGTATCCGATGAATCGTTGGTGGATTCTTCAGGGGTTTTACATCCTAGACTGTCGGATCATGAGTTGATTTTTTGCACGACTATATTTAAATATGAAAGCAAAAAACCAATATTCAAAAATGTGCGAGACTTCAAAAATGTTAATCTTAATCAATTTGAGGATGACCTTCGGTCTATTCCATGGCGAAATATATATGAAATGAGCGATGTCGATAGCAAAGTTGATTTTTTGAATGACAGCATTACGGCACTGTTGGATATTCATGCGCCTTTTAAAACCTACAGAATCACCAAACCTTATGCTCCATGGCTAACTGAAAATATGAAAGCCATGATGGTTGACAGAGACCGGGTGTTGTCAGGGTATAAAAAAAATAAAAACGTCAGAGATTGGCGGTCTTATCAACAGTTACGTAACATGATAACAGCAGCTGTTGCTCGAGAGAAAAAAAGCATATTTTAATATGCAAGCTAATAGAAACTCAAAAAATTTATGGGCCTCTCTAAAATCCTTAAATCTGCTACAAAAAGAAAATAAAGTTGCCCTTCCTGAAAATCTAAGTAACGTTGAAAATATTAATAAGCATTTCATTGAAGCAATACCAAAAATAACTGTTGATGACTCCCTGAGGAATTTTTACAAGAATAACATGAAAGATAACATATCAAGTGTCTTTCGTTTTAGTCCAGTGACAGAATCTGAGGTCTTGAATATTATTAAGAAAATTAAGTCAAAAGCAACAGGATTGGACGGTATAAATATTTTAACTTTAAGCCTCTGCTAACCGTTCCTTTCACCCTATTTAACGCATATTATAAACTATTGCTTGAGAGAATCCGTTTTTCCGTCCTCCTGGAAAAAAGCGAAGGTCACCCCTCTTCCAAAAATAAAAAATCCCGAATCTTTCAATAATCTCAGACCAATTAGCGTTCTACCGACGATGTCCAAGATCCTAGAAAAAATCATCGAGACTCAACTGAGGACGCATATTGAAAAATATGATCTTTTACCTGTGCACCAATCAGGATTTCGGCCCAATTATAGTTGCGCAACAGCACTTACCAAAATAACAGACGATATATTTAGAGCAATCGATGAAGGCAAACTAACAGTCCTTGTACTTCTTGACTACTCAAAGGCTTTTGACACATTGAATCATCAGCTTTTGAGCTCCATTATGCATTACTTGGGATTGTCCGGGAGTGCAAACAAACTGATGGATGAGTTTTTACTGGGTAGAAATCAAGCGGTTTTTTATGATAACAATCTATCCTCATTTTTGCAGGTAGCGACAGGCGTTCCTCAAGGAACAATTCTAGGTCCCCTGATGTATTCTTTGTACGTCTTTAGCTTTCCTTCTGCGTTTCTTTCTTGCTTTCATCATTTTTATATATGCGATGACACTCAGTTATACTTGCCTTTTTCTATAACTGAATCCGATCAAGCTGTAGCTGCTATTAACTACGATTTAAATAATGTTCTGGATCTTTCTAAAAAACACGGTCTTCAGTTAAATACTCAAAAGTCAGGTATGATTGTCTTTGGACCAAGGAATCATAGAGAGGAATTTGTGGCTGCGTATGGGGGGTGCATTAAACTGGGTTCTGAGCCTATCGTTGAGCACAAATCTATTAAAAACTTAGGCCTTATTATGGATCAGAATTTAAGGTTTACAGATCATGTTAACAGGTGTCTGCAGAGGGGTTATGCGAACTTAAGGACAATTTACCAGCATCGCTCGTGTTTGAACAAAAAAATCAAAACCATGCTATGTGAAAGTTTTGTTTTGTCACATGCTAACTATTGTGACACCATTTACAACCCGTGTTTGAGTCAAATAGATTCAAAAAAAATTCAAAAACTGCAAAATTCTTGCTTGCGATTGGTCCATGGTATAGGAAAATTTAGTCCAATAAGCCACACTCTAATTACTAGCAAATGGCTAAATATGTTTAACAGACGATATTTACATGCAGCGATCTTTTATTTTAATATAATTAAAAACAAAGTTCCCAACTATCTGCACAATAAAATTAGATACAGATCCGATGTTCACAATATAAATATTCGGTTCAGTGGAAGGTTAACACCCCCATTACACTCTCTACAAATCTTTAAAAGATCCTTCTCATATCAGATTGTATCAGTATTTAATCAGCTCCCATCCTTACTTCTAAAAACCAATAATAAACTATCATTTAAAAAAAAAATGTTTCAAATTTTATTTGAAAAACAATTTCCTTCTGCAACTTGAAGGTCGATGAGTACCTATGTTTTTTCTTCTTTCTCCTTGAAGAGAAAGAAAACTCTGTTTCTCTCCTTATCTGCTTACATTTTCATTTATGGCAGTAATAATTATGAACATGTTAATTATACTGCTGTGTCCTTTTATTTTTATTGTACGGGCTTTTTATTTGGTAGGTATAAACAAAATTGATATTTTTTTTTTAGGGTTTTATTTTTTTTGTTTTTTATATTAAATCTATTCTAAGGACCTTTAAGTGCAATCTAACTTTTCTGTCTACAGGGTTAGGTGGAAGAACAGATACCGATTTTTTTCTAAAAATCGGTAAACTGAATCTCGCCCTTTTTTTTATGAATATCTTGTAATTTCTTATACTTTATTTTGAAAATAAAAGACCTTTATTATTATTATTATTATTATTATTAATAATACATATCAAAAATTTGCAAGTTTTCTTCAACATTATCAAATTGAATTTCGTTTTCAGGGTTAATTATGTTTACATGTTTATTTTTAAAACAACTTTTAATGTTGTGTCGAGTTTTTTTACATTTCGAACACCAAAAATTACAAAAACCTCTGTGATATTTATTGCAGTATTTACATTTTATAAAAGAATTTGTACTATTACCTTGGTAATTTTGTCCCGATATCGTGGATCGTCTGTTGTTGTTTTGGTTTTGCCTTTGATGGCTGCCGCCATGTTGACGTTGGTTCGGCTGGTGCTGTCTCTGTCGGACTTGCCCATTCCACTGACCATGACCATTTCTTGAGCTTGCGCCTTGTTCACGTTGCCTTGATTGCGTCATTTCATGACCTCCACTTGCTTGCGGTTGCGCAGTGGTTCTTCCTCCTTGGAAATGCGAATGACGTGAATTTTGCTGAAATTTTCCATTTTTGGACATGGAAAAACTTCGGCGAAGGCGTTTTCGGTTTTCAGGGCTAGAGAGTATAAATCTCCTAGCTCCTTTGAATCGTCTTCTTCACATAATCTGTCTAAGACTTTTCCGGGAGACAATCCCGTGACGAATTTGTCTTTCAAAATGGCCATC